ATTCACGTATTTTGGTCATTTTCCAGCAGTCGTCATTGTGCTTCTTCTTCTCAATGGATGGTAGTGGTCAGCAAGGGAACGCCTATCCTGGAGGGGGCGGGCAGATTCCGACCAACCCGATGATGCAACAGTGGGCTAATGTAATAATGTTACGCCTTGAATGGTATCGGTCATTATATTGGAGTTTCATGAAAAACATATTTCACGACTACTGCATATCACCGCGAATATCGAGTTTTTCACCGAGTTTTACGCCACTTCTACCATGTCAAACGTGTATAATTCTGTTTCCACAAAAAACGCCACTTCACGTAAAACGGGTAGTTGTGAAACTCCATTTACTGGAGTGAGATAGTCCTGAATCACTCGAACAGAAGTATATAAACATTATGATGGTAATGATTACAGTTTTTCTCGTAAAACAATGGAGTTTCACCCTAGTGGTGTGAAAAACATACTCCACGCTAGCGAATAACGCGTAAAACACGTGATGTGTTTCTCATGTGATATGCAAAACACGAGTATACGTCGTGTAACTTCATTGTATGAAAATTACTACTACAGTACTGTATCACAATCTCAACTCTATATTATCGAGTTGAAATATATACGTACGATATCAGCAATCACAGTAATAGTGATAGTCCGATTCGCATTATAATGGGGTTTCATGACCCTAGTGATATGGAGAACACGAGTGAAAAATATATTTCGCGACTATTGCATACCACCGCGAATATCGCGTTTTTCACATGGAGTATTACACCACTCCATTATATCATTGGAGTTGTATTAGTACGAGTGCGGTATCGGTAACTATAGTGATCATAATACACCTCGCATGGTTCGAATAGCCGTACTGTGATGGTGATCATATAATCATGATGATATCTTCGGATAGTGTTCTGACCTATCACTGTCAATCGGATCAATTTTAAATGATGGGTTTATGGTTTATAATGTTTAGGAAATAATACTGAGTTCTGGTAGGAGTCACAATCACAACTGTGGTATGATATCAACCCGATTAGAAATAATATCTTCTTTTTAGTACTATGCGGCAGCTCAGGCAGCGGCCTATGCTGCGAGTGTTGGATATTCTCAGGCAGGTAGGCGGGTCTTCAGTCTAACAGGGAGGCGGCGCGACTTAATACCCGATTCAGGCACAGGTTCGACCCAGGCGGCATCCGTTATGTCTATGAGTAACAGCGGTATGGCGTCGAGCTATGGGACGAAACCAGTGAAGAAATGTTTCCTTCATAACAAACATAATAACGGGTGCAAGAAATGTCGGGAATATAAGGAATGGGTAGTAGCAACATTAAATGTAGGGAATATAAGGAATGGGTAGTAGCAACATTAAATGTAGGGAATATAA